TGTTGTCCATCAATGTCATCATAAAAATTGAGGTAGCAAAATTACAACATTTTTTTAAAGCTTACTTTTTTGGAGGATTGTCAATTGCCTCATTAATTTTAAATGATTTTTATGTGGCTTATATTTACACATGTAATAGAGTTCAAGAAGTGCAGCACGCACATCCAAAGTAATAAAACTGGGTGCTGGACGGACAGATATTTGCAAAAGTAAACAATGAGTCCGCACACCAGAAGATGCTCCTAAGCGAGTTTAATAGTTGCTCACCTCGTGTAACGTTTCAGACTCTGATGAAGGGCTTGGGCCCGAAACGTTACACGAGGTGAGCAACTATTAAACTCGCTTAGGAGCATCTTCTGGTGTGCGGACTCATTGTTTACTTTTATATTTACACATGGTCACATCACGTTTAAACACTTTTTTCCTAATCAAACTTAAATATTAAGAAAAAGAATCAACAAATGATTGTTAAAGCAGGTAAAAACGACATAGTAAATTCTCTGTAGACCCTAATTTGCCTGAATGTCTGGTTTTCATCATAGTAAGTTTTGTGGTAGCCTACTTTGTGCACAGCTAATTTCACTTTGTGCTGAGCAGTCATGTAACATCTGGTACTCACCAACACTAATCCGACTGATTCATCTCCCCTGGACCTGCAGATGCAAACCTGAAAAGACAACCACAGCTGCTGTGTTGTTTTGGAGAGAAGGAGTATCTTCAGCTCCAGTTCATCGCGGTAAAGTAGCCTACCTTCAAATGTCTCCACAAGAGGGCGACAATCGCCACGAAAAACAAACTCAAAACAAAAGTAGTTAGCCTACCTATCATGTTGATGCATAGTTACTGAACAGATGGAATGTATCACAATCACATGGACTAATTAATGATTAATATTAACTTTTGTTCATTATCAATATATTTAATGTTAAAATATTCCATAGTAAGCACATAATAATACAGATAAGGCACTCATAAGCAAGAAATGTGAAGCATGAGAAGTGAACTTAAACTTGGTGATTTTGTTAGCCTACTTCTGAAAACAGCTGCCTGCACGATCACTGGTTTTTATGTAGCAGATATGTTTAGGTTGTTTTTTTTTTTTACTCTTTTAATGTTCTGTTGAGAAATTTGGCCACATCTTGACATTGATTTGTTTTATTACGGTTGAAACTCAGATCTAAAATCCAAGCTCGTTATTAAAAAGTCTTTCATATCTATCCAAATTCATCCTTTGGACAATGTTGATGAAAAACATCTTAGTGAAAGTTTATCTTCAAACACAACAGCTCTTTTGCTCTTTGGCTTTTAGTCAAATGACAAATCCACTGTTTTATTCTTATACTTGTGCCACAAAACTCAATCCTCTATAAAATATGTGACCTCAGGGCAAAAAGCAGAGTTTATACTTGTTTTGTATTTGATGAAAACATATAGCCTAGATGATATACAAAGACAGCCATCATCAGAGAATCATATTTTATTAATAAATAAGAAACAGTTGCAAATATAGCTTTCAGAGATTTAAAATAAGTTGCTGTACATTTAAAGTATATTGCTCCCAAACATTAAAGCAGGCTTTGAGATTAAAGCTCTGAGACTTTGGTTCAAATGATCCTCCATGAAGGCTGGTAAGTCATTCTGGTATAATGATCCAGGTCCGGGTCCTTCAGGGTCTCAGTAAGGCTGGTGAAACGTAGGCATTAGCCCTTAGCATCAGTCTGCTTCCTTCATTCAAATTGGCCTCAATGATGTATTAGTTTTCCAGGCTGGTCTTGTAGATGGCCATTCTATTAAATCCATCATAATACTGAACATTTACATTAATTAGGGTTCCACTTGTGAGGAACCCGTTAAATACATATTTAGACACTTACAACACACTTAATTAGGCTAGAGTCATTGTGTTAAATAATCAAATGCCAAACCAAGCACAATCTTTCAAAGCAACACCAAATAACTTTTCCTCTGCGGTCGCCCTACAGGTTGGAAGCGGAATTGTCCATTACCGCTGTTGTAGCCTAAATAATATAGCCTACCGCAGACTAGGCCTACTGTCGCACGCCCGCTCGCTGTTATCCCGCACCGGCTTTGGAATGAACGATGTCCACTGACAAGGTAGAGTATGTTGCAAGATTTCATGAAAGTATGATGTATTGCGACATCAGGAACGAAGAAAAACTAAATAGGCCTAATGACTATTGTAACGCTTGACGTAAAGCAAGTCAAATTTGTAGTCTCTTATGTCTCATTAGAACTACAGAAACGCGACCCGATCTGGCAATCTTACATAGCGTGGTTATAGCAGATAAAGGACCGCAAAGCGAATCCAGAAGTGCCTTTCACCCTGTTACGACTTAATGAACCACTGAAACGATTTTGGAAAAATTATTTGAAGGTAAAAAATCGTACTTAGTGTTGCTTTAAAGAAAGATAGACAACGTTCACTTTTCAAGCAAACCATGTATGAAACGACATTTGTTAAAGTGATAGTGAACCCCAAAATTTAAATTTTGTCATCATATACTCACCCTCAAGTTGTTCCAAACCTGTATGAGCTTTTTTCCGTACGATGCATTCAATGGCCACCGTCAACCATCTGGTTACCAACATTCTTCAAAATATCTTCTTTTGTGTTCAACAGAACAAAGAAATTAATACAGGTTTGGAACAACATGAGGGTGAGTAAATGATGACAGAACTTTCATTTTTGGATAAACTGTTCCTTTAAAGCCTGAATGATAACTATATTAGGAGCACACAATATCATCCTGTATTTTCTAAACGCGTGCTGCAGTTTTGTCGTCTGCCGCTTTAAACGCTTGAGCTCCTAAAGCAGGATGGATTTTGATTAGCTGTCAATGTTTTATCGTTCATCTTCTAGAGGGGAAAAGGCCATTCTGAAAGTGATTCCAAACGACATTGTTTCTCTGTGCCGTTATTGATGTGTTTTGGACTTTTTAGACCAATTGTCATCTTTATAGTTATTGTAACGGGCCTTTAGGCTTTTAATGACAAAACAATAGATTAAGACAAAAAAAAAAAAAAAAAAAGTATTGGACTTTTAGACTTGGATCATGTTCATTGTTATTGTGATGAACTACATGTGGTCAACATAATACACTCTTAAAAATTAAGGTTCTTTATTGGAATTTATGGTTCCACAAAGAACCTTTTACATCCATGGAACCTTTCCATTACCCAAAAGGATCGTTATAGTGGAAAAAAAGTTCTCCAGAGTCCAGACTAAGAAAAAATTAATTTATTTTGAGAACTGTTTGTTCTTTGGGGAACCGGAATGGTTCTTCTATGGCATCACAGCGAAAAAAACCTGTTTAGAATCTTTATTTATGTAAACTGATTAACACATTAACACCAATTAATTCTGAGAAAAGTTCTAATATAATTTGTTTGCAGATTTGATACAATGAAGTTCATAGATTTAGCTTATTTTGGGGGTTTTGTCTTAACAGTAAAATGCAGACCGGAAAGTGAGAGACAGGGGAAATAGGATCAGCACATGACTCGGGTCAGACTCAAAGCCGACAGCATGTGCACAATATGCCACAGCACTGACAAACTCATGCATTTTTAAGTTTGTGTCCTTAAGTGTCAAAATACTTTTAGAGGCCGCTGTATTTCTGAGACGGTTCAGAAAGCACCAAAAAAATAAGAGAGATTTGTTCGATGTATTTTGCATTAGGCTCGGATTCATGCGTCTGAACTTGTCAGAGACATATTTCCATATTTAACAACAAATCAATTTGAAAAGCCACATGGTACAAAAATAAATAGCTGGATTTAGAAAGATTATGTATATATTCCAAGTTATTTACAACACTGTTGTCACAGTTCAATTTCCAATTAGTGCTGCATCAAAAACCTAGTTCAACTGGATTTATACTTTTGCAAAAGGCCAAACACACACTTTATCCATCTTATATAATCTTCTGACTCATAGTGGAAATCTGAACCTTTGGTTTTAAAGAACTAGCAAGTCATATTTAGCCAGTGTGGTACAGAAAGTTTTGCATTTCCCAAAACACATAAAACAGCTGAAAAGGCTCTATAAACCAGTCCAAAATGGAAAGTAATAAAAAAAAAGATAAAAAAAAAAAGTTGATTCTTATCAGAACAGTGAAACAAGACTTACTTTGTCATCTAAGACAGTGAATCACACTTGATTATTATTGTCTCACAGCACATAATCATATCCTGTAATATTTTAACAACCAAAATGATCAAGTATCAGGTGTGGTTTTGCTGGAGGACAAAGCATAAATACATCGATGGATGTAATTTATAGGCAGAAACAATATTTTAATCAATACATCGATATTTCAAGTTTTTAATTTATTCAAAAAGACATTGTCATGTGGACAATCAGTCATTAACGATACTGACGCAGACCTTGCTTGATTTCAATACAGACATCACTGAAAGTAATAACTTGAAATGTAGTAAGTGATTCAAGTCAATGAACAATTTTTCAAACTTGTCGTTTTGATCAATTTATCAAAAGAACTGGATCTTTCATTCAAGCCCTGGACTAAACTGATCTGTTTGTAAAGTGCGGCCACATTACTGTTACCATTAGGGTGGAGCAACCAGTGCGATTGCAGCGGGCCCCATGCTTTAGGGCCCCTGTGTGAACGCCAACGTACCCCGCTTCCTCTATCTCGCACTGGGCCGCCAAACTGGGCCCTATGTTACTCTGACAAATTTGGCGTCATTTAAATCCAGTCAACTGGAATCTATGTGATCAGGAGTGGAATCAGTGAGGCCGAAACCACAGAAGTTCGTCCACGTTGACGGACAGAAAGCTGCTCGGTTTAAAAGAGACCTCCGTGTGAGCTGTGCTTTAGACATCGCTGCACTAATAACCATAGACAACGGACTTTCTTTTGTCTCCGTTCATTTCTGACTGCTCCTTTGAGTTAACTAATTCTGTTCTGAATTCTCATCAAGTAATTCATCTCAACAAAGCAGATTATTGTGGTTCCTTATGTATGTTTTGAGTTCATGACGGGTTTTTGTGTGGTGCGTTTATCCGAGTTTCCTTTTATTTCTTTATTCCTATGATGTTTGGTTACACTGTGTACTTCAAAACTGCCTTGTCTCTCACGATGAACAACAGAATTACGCAAAACGCGTAAGCCATGTTCATCCGCAATGGCTGTATTTGTATTGTTATGCGAGGTATTGTTTGTCACTGCTATGTGCACATTTGTCTCAATATTGCGTTTAACAGCTCTGTGCGTTGCAAAGTTTCTGGAGGCCGCAATCTTTTTTGCGGCAGCGACACGTGCGGCCGCCAGCTGAGGGAACTGTTTGGTGTACAAGGCTGATGTGTACTGCAGTTCAGGCGTAATCAACCTCTGACAAAGCCCAAAAGTGTCATTATTCAACCCCAGTCGGAGGTTATAACCTTGAATAACTGCTGCACCATATTGAAACGGCTTTAATGATGAATCCTTGACCTGCGCAGGATCAACCGCCCCTCCACCCTGTAAACACATTTGCTCAAGCTTCATCCTCTTTGCCCTCAGAAGCTCTACTTCCCGTTGGAGCGTCGTCCGTCCGAGTGTGGAGTCTATCCGTTTCCAGAAAGTGGCATTAAAGTGCTGGTACAATCGCCAGTCTAGCGAATTCCACTGTTTTACCCGCTCTGCGGTCTCTGCACTTAAGGGTCGGCGAGAGCGCTCACTGCGACTGTTGAGGCGGAAAGACGAGATATCATCCAGTGACCAGCAGAGGGTGTGCTTTAGAAGCACCAGTGATTCATCGAAATACTCCGAGATGAGGATCAGCGGAAAGTCGCGTTCCACGGCAGTGATGACCTCGGCGCTACGCCTGTCCAGATCGGTGTCGTTCTCGGGCGCTGTATTATCCAGACCGAAGTCAAAGGTCAAAATGTTACGTGCATAGTGGTTGTTAGGCACAGAGGTGTTGTAGCTCCGCCCACCCTGGATCAGGAACTCCTCAAGGCTTTTGACAACACGGAATGCCGGGATCGCTTTGTAGTAAACGAACAGGGATTCCATCATCGCCACCGGATTCCGAAGAATGGAGAAGTAGAATGTGTCCTTAGGCATCAACTTCCTCACCTGAATGTCAGAAAGATATAAAGACAATATGAGCTTATGAATAAAGTCTTTTTTTTTTCTTTTTTTTTTCAACACTGTTTATGACTAACTTACAAATAAAAATGTACAATTTGAAGAAATTTTGACCTCTTGTTCTTTGTCAAAGACAGATAAACATAGCCCGCTTAACTGAAGTTCCATCACAGAATGCAATCCCCATCCAATCAGTGCAAATGTCCTCTAAATCATTCGGATCTGCACCTGCCTACATCAATCTAGCACTGGGTGATTTGTCTTCCTCTTGAAAATTAAAATAGTCAGTGGTTTCAAATGATTTATGTGCTTGCCAAGTTGTCTACGCACATTCAGGATTGCATTCACAACACAGAGAGTCTTGACAAAATTGCAAACTTCTTCAGCTCAAATGTGCTTAATGGTAAATGCTTTACCCTTTGGTGCTGTAAATTAAATAATTTTTTACTTCATCTGAGTGGTAAGAAACTTGGTAAAGGTTTTGACACTTGCTTTGTGAACACAAAAAAATAAATCATGGACATGACCTGAAAAGGTTAAATGGTCCTGAAAAAATAGTCACTCTTGTATTGTTCACAGTCAAAAATGACCGCATTGGAAAAGAATGGGAGATTCATTTAATGGAAACGTTTCGTACTGCGCCCAAACAAATTCTTCCTGAAAGCTCTATTTTTGGAGACATCAACCTCAATTTTGGAACACAGCTTGTTCAGATTTATGGCTTTGATTTTCTCAGTTTTAGAGTAAACGTGTTTTGTAATATATGTATTTCATATGAAAAATGTACAAAAATACTATTCATTTTTTTATAATAAATGTAAAAATTTATTAACTTTTTTCCAGATTAATAATCTGCAATAATAATAAGCAATTATCTGCCAAGTGTCGTCTTTAAAAAGAGACCAAACTTAAGTCTGTGCTCCAAAGCATTCAAGATTTATGACAGTTTAAGTTGGAAATTTTATTTCCAGGTCCATGCTCAAAAAGTGACTACATGGATTATAACCACTGCAAAAAATATCATTTTTGACCGACAAGTGAACAGTACCAGAGGGTCAACCAATTAAATATAAGGCCAAATCAACATAACATAAAAAAAAAAACAGAATAATAAATAAAAAGTGACATAAAAAAATGTATTTGGAGTCTGCTCCATCTGCTCTTTTGCATCAGTTGGTTAAAATCACATAACGCTATTTAATCAAATCAAAATTTTAATCAAAAACAGTGCCCATATGCACTGCATGTTTTTTACCTTATGCTGCACAATCCAGACTCATAATAAAAAGTAATGATTGCATTCTCCTTATTTATTATTCCATGTTTATATTATATTATGAAATATATATTGGTTTACAATCCACAGCATTTTAGGGGCTTCTATTCAAACCCTTCACTTTTAACATCATGAATCGTTCTTTTATTCATCATCTAATCCTGCAACAACTTTAGGGTGCATGCTTTGGTACATCTCTCTCTTGGAAGTAATGTGCTCTCAGACTGACCTCTTGTGAGCTGAATCTCATATGATTGCACAGGATGTGGAACTCTTTCACGCTGCGAGTCCTGACACCCTCCACAAAGTGTGCTGCAAAGAATGTTGGGTAAAATAACTGGCTGTGCATGTTCAGCGGCAAGGCAAACGTCAAGTTATGGCTGTCCCCGTAACGATAGAGAATGTTCAATATGGTGCTGCTGGCAGTCTTGTGCGTCTTGAGGAAGACAATGTGGTTTTTGGGTTGACACCTGACAGCTTCTGATTTTAATGTATATTTATCAGTATCGTTATCAGAGCGTGGTGGTTTTTGAATTTCAGGGTCATTTTCGTCGATAACTGGCTGGTGCTGAAATGGTTTAGCCACTTCTTGGTCAAACAAGAGTTTGTTCAGCTCTATTGGTGGAACTGCTTTGGTAATGCTGGTAAGCTTTTTTCTTGCAACCTCCAAGACCTGGTCCCTTTCCTCTTCTAAATGAGGGTTTACGCTCTCGCCTATTTTCTGTATGAAATAATGCTGGTCGACTGGTTCCTCAACAATCGCTGCTGAGACAGACCAAAGGTTTCCTAGATTTTCCCAGTCTATGCGTTTCACGGGTCTATGGATCTCTGCAGGCATCCTGACCAGCTGTTCACTCACAAGTTTCAAAACCTTGGAACTCCTAAACAAGAGAGAAAGAGACAGTACATTTTAGATATTGACCCTAATGGAACCTACACAATTCAGCAATATTTCATGTCCTATATATTGTCTTTAATGGAAATATCATCCAATGAAAGCTGTTAAATCTGAGCTAAAAAGTCTCCCTCTATGTTATATTTACTATACCTAAGGCTACATCTACATCAATCCAGATGCATTTAAAAATGCATATTTTTCTATATATTTTGGCCTTCCATCCACATTGAGACACCGTTTTTTGTCCTATGTAATGTCCTATGCCTTTTGAAGATGCTCTCTCAAGTTGTTAAATACAGTATAACAATTCTATTTTCGCATTATAATGTGGAAAGTGAAAATTTGAAACCGAAAACATATTAGAAAACGTAGACGCATGTTTAATCATGTAACGCATTTGTAGCCATATATATCTATCGTTATACCAGGATTTTGTGCCTGCCATTCATTGTTATTTAGTACAATCTTCATATTACATTACTGCAAAACTGACAGAAAATGGCTGTGTTCTGCAGCAAAACATGAGGGCAATTGCATATTACGATTAATACAACATAATTGCGATTATGTTATGATTATGTTGCCGTCTCAAGACAGCAGAGAACTTGAGTGATCGATGCCTAATAAAGCCCTCACGGTGAATGCCGAGTTGTTGCGTCGGAATATAATGAAATTGAGGTTGAGTTGAAGCAACTAGAAAATTAAATTCAAGAGTTGTTAAAGAGGAAGTCCAATCTGCTAGAGAGAAATAAACTGCCTGAATAGATAGAGTTTTTAAATTCTTCCTCTTCAAATAATGACTCTACTAGGCCCAGACACATTTTGATTATTGGAGACACAATGGTAAGACAGCTGAATGTTTTTATGGCTTCTTAATTATTTATCTTCTTCAATATTAGACTAATTTGCTAGAGAGCAAGAAACAGCCTAAGGCTTGTCGGAGAAATCCCGGTGGATTCAGTAGATCCTAACGATGGTGTATTCAATCAACGGATACATTTAAATGCAGCGTCACCACAGCGAGCCAATGTTTGAACAAAGAAAGGAATGGAAGGAATACTCCATCACCGCCACAACCGGTTTCTTCCACCATTAATAGTCCTAGAGTAGATGTTTGAGTTTATCAACGCCGCTTTTAAATTCTTCCTCTTCAAATAATGACTCTACTAGGCCCAGAGACATTATGATTATTTGAGACTCAATAGTGAATGTTTCTTATTTGTGTTCATCAATATTAGACTCAATTGCTCCAGTCAAATTAAGGTCAAGGTCAGTAGGAAATCAATTACCTTGGATGAATGATGATATTCGTAATTTAAGGAGAGAGTGCAGGAAGTCAGAACGTGCATGGAAATCAACAAAACTTCTTGTTCATTTTGAGCATTTGAAGAGTATTTTAATACATTTTAACTACTAACTGCCATAAAGCAGGGTTTTTATTCAAAAGCATCAATAATTTGCTCAACCAGCTGGCTAGTGCTGCTTATTGTCCGATAGACTTACTCGTTTTCGTAATTTTTTTTGTGGATAAGGTCACTAACATAAGGGTGTCAAGTACTCCTTTGGTTCAATGTGTTGAACAATCAGGTTGTAGGGAGGTGGTTACATTCTTTTTTTTCACCTATATCAGAACAGGATCTTTATGAATTTGATCAGAATCCTTCCAGTTTTCATACAATAGTGGTTCCTAAAAGAGGAAGGAAGTTCCTGTTTAAAGCTGCTGTCCGTAACTTTTTTGGGTTAAAAATTATCCAAAATAATAATAATTAAAAAAAACATAACCAGCCAGTGTTAAAAAATATCTGCTTGCTTTTGCCCGATTCAAAACGGTTAGCTTGTAATAATGATTTTAATTCCAGTGGTACTGGTGGATTTCCGCGGGAAATTCAAGCATGTCTTTGCGTCATTACGTCACATCTGTACACATAAAGAAGGCGTCCCGGCTAGTCGGCTATATTGCGTGAGGATGTTGGAGGTGGACATTTTTAGCCTTTTCTCACAGCATTAAATAATTAAACTTATGGCGGATCCAGAAAGGTTCAAACGACAATCACCAGTGACAACTGGACATTCACCACTTGTAAAACCCCAAATAATTCGGACTTCGGAGTGGGTAACGTTAGAGAAAAAGGAGACTGCAACTGGCCCACGCGAAAACAAGGATAAACATCGGTTCAAAACGGACGCAGAGACGGCTTTTTTTCTTTTAGGACCGGTAAGACATTTCAATAGTTCAATAGTGTAACAGTAGCACACTTGTTCGCTTAATTCACACAGTTACGGAGTTTCCTGTCTTTATTCGTTTAGCTATTATGGTAAATATTTTGTGCTAGCTATGAGAGGGAGCAATTCACCTCTACTCCAAGCAAACCAAACCGGCCTCCTCCGAAATTATATATAGTTTTAAATATGCATCGGATTACAGATACGTGTTTTTTTTTTCTTTTCTTTTTTCTCAAAGAAAACCAGTAAAGAAACATTAATTTATTGGTATGACAATTAGAAATTAGACTGCACAGAAATAGAAACTGAACTACAGGGTAATCATAATACACATTAAATGTAGTCACAATGCTGATGTTGATAATTTGAGAACAAAGTATAATTTGAAAGGTTTGACGCGATCGTTATATTTAATCAGCACGATTTACTGCAAGGCTTTCCCCCCTTAGTTGATGTGGATGTTACTTACTTGTTCAGATGACATTTTCCGATGAAAATTCGTATGTTGTCATGGTCATACTGTAGGCCTACTTCCAAAAGTAGAATGTGTGATTCTGAATGCCAGTTTCCACATCGGCGCGGTGACTGACAGACTCGCAGTCTCAAAACATTGTGTTCATCCGCGCTGTTTCATGCCGATGTGCAACTCACGCAAAGTTAATAATTACGCGAATAACTGCAATTACAGATTTCAAACAGAGATGGCGACAGAGGAAAAATGCCGGACTGCAGCTTTAAGGAAGCCAATGAGACTTAGGTCCAATTGTATTATCTAGTGAATAGCTCTCGTGGGTGGATATGTCCCAGAGGACCTTAAGATTGCAACAGTTCAAACACTTCTGAAGAAGCCCTCATTAGATCCTGCAGTTACTAATAACTAGATATCTCCCTAAAATACCTTTTATTTAAACAAAAAATTAAAATAGAAAAATAGAAAAAGCAGTGGCTTAACACTGTTGGAGGTTATGAATGAAAACATGTTTGTGTAATTTCAGTTAGGATTTAGAGAAAACCATGGTACAGAAACTGCCCTATTAAGAGTGACAAATGACTTACTGAAGGCAGAGGATGCTGGAGAGTGCTCCGTTTTGCAGATATGACTGCAGCTTTCACCATTCAATCTTTAATGATACATTAAATAGATATGTTGGAGTTTCAGGAAGGGGATTTTGTAACTGTGATGTTCCACAGGGCTCCCTGTTGGGACCAATTTTGTTTTCAATTTATTTCCAATTTACCTCTTGGATCCGTAATCCGGAGACATCACATACATTTTCACTGCTATGCAGATGATTTACAGTTATACAGGTCACTGTGATATAATGATCTGACAGGCTTAGATGTTCTTCATTCATTCTTAGCAGATATATGAAAAAACTGGATGGTTTGTAATTTTCTGCAATTGAATACTGATAAAACTGAAGTTGAGATAATCGGTCAGGGCTCTAATAAAAGTCAGGTTGAGTCAGCTCTTAAATAAGGTGTTCCCCAATTTCCCACAAGTAGTGAACAATTTGGGGTGTTTACTTTGATACCATGTGATTTTTTGAATTATGTCAAGAAGTTGGTTCAGTCAAGTTTTTATCAGTTAAGAAATATTCCCAAGATGAGACCTATTGATTTTAAGATATTATTATTATTATTGACATGAAGCACTACATGGATTGGTGCCTAAGTATTTAGCGGAACTTTTAAGACCTTATAAAACAGTTAGATGTCCCAGATCTTCTAGTCATTGTTTGTTGGCTGTTCCAAGATCCAGATACAGAACAAAATGTGTCAGAGCCTTTGCAGTGAAGGCTCCAATATTATGGAATAGCCTCCCAGTGGATATTAGATTCGCGGAATCTGTGCCTGTTAATAAATAAATAAATCATCATTTAAAAAAATTATTTGTATTGACTTTTATTACTTTGTGAAGTCTTTTTGTATGTTTTTGGATCTTTTGTTTTATGTAGTATTTTTTATTTTATTATGTAGGCCTGTTTGTATATTTTGTAAAACTCTTCATGTCGTTTTACCTGACTGTATTTTTTGTAAAGTTCTTCATGTCTATTTTACCTTTTGTAAAGCACTTTGTGCTATATAGCTTTAAAGGTGCTATTTAAATAGTTTATTATTATTTATTAGTATTATTAGACCATACATGGAATAGCGATTTTGAGTGTGACATTGATATACCAGTAAGTGGTGGGATATTTTTGTAACTCAGGGAGCTTTTATTATATTTTATGCATGTGCAGTAAGGTGATTAAAGCGTTTTTCGATGTTTCAGTGTGGACGAGGAGAGTGTTTTGAGACAAAAAAAGCAGTTTTTAAAATGACTCCGGATTCATGTGGATGCATGAATTTTAAAACGTGCTTAACCTGGCCTGTCGGACCACTCCCAGCATCTGCAGCGCCACGCAGAGGACAGTCAGGACCATCAGAGTGAACCACATAAAACGCAGGCGACTGCAACACGCGACTCTCACACACCTGTAAACACAGTTCAGAAAGAACCACAGGTTAATAAAGAACAACAAAATGCAACAAAGAGAAACAAAGTGAATGCAAGTTCGATACATGCATATACAGCTTAGCTGAACAGTCGACAGACGATAAGTTCTGTAAGTGTGAGAATTTAAGCAGAGTGAGAGTTTAAGCATGTGCTTTTAAACCATTCAAGTGCGACAAGACAAGAGACCGCGCTGTCTGTGAATATCCTGACGCACACACGACACGCGCCAGTATTGTGCGCCAGAATCGAGCTTTCACGTCTGAACAAACAATAACACACATGTATGCCAAAATGTCCGTTTTGTCGAGTATCCTATAACATAAGAGCAGTTTTGAATTAGTTAAAGTCTTAAATGAACATAAAGAGTTGTGAGAAAATGAAACACGTGTGAGATCCACGTCTGTCAGAAGCATCAGATCTTAAAGTGACAGCAGCCACTAATTCTGTCAGTAAAGTTAATCAAAGAACAAAAGGTAACAGAAAATTACTCACCGCTATTGACTGAAGAACTTTTGTAGCTCTAATAAGGATTAATCTATATTTAATTTATAATTTATGCAGTGCAGATTGTTTGATAACTATTCAATTTCCTACCTGTTAGACAGGAAGGGCACAGGTAAATAAGACATTTATGGGTTTATGTGAGGATTGTTTTAAGTTCACTTAAATTAAAATGTGTTATATTTTTTGAAGCCTAATAAAATGTAAAAAAATATATAGCTTTCAATACACTGTAATGTTGAATGGCTATAATTAAAATGTTTAAAACTGGGGGAAAATCTATTTCATTGAGACATCAGTAGCTGTATTAATATCAGTAATACTGTCCTTCATTCATAAAAAGATCCCATTAAACAAGTGTGTCTTTATCTTTGTTGTTTCTACATTCATTGGGAGATTAAAGGGTAACTTGGTAACTTTTTTAACTTAATAAAACTGTCTAGAAATCATTTGGATGGTTAAACAACCTGTTCTGGTGAAATTGGTGACTTTCCCTGCTCCCCCCAGCGTTCCCAGGCGGAAAACCAACCTTGCAACATGGGGACTAGCGTCCCGGCAAGATAGAAATCGGAAGTCTCGTGAGAAGCGTGAACCGGCGAGAACGAGCGCGAAACACGAACTGCTTTGCAGCAATTTGACATACACACGCCCCCCTCAATACTATCTAGAATTAGTACAAGCGACGATGGATCATTCACATGTCCAACGAAACTACAAAAGAGACGGTTATCGGCGGAGGTGAAAGAGAGGAAACTTTTTGACCATGCGAGGGACCACACAAGAGTAAACATTAGCCGTGCGTTCACTGAGTGAGTGGCGAGAGCTAAAAGAAAGTTTAGAATGCAAAACAGATGCTGACCTTGCGTTTCTGCTAATGCAATTGTAAGTACGTCTTTGTTTTCTTTATTCCTTATTCTTGTAAGGGTTTATAAATGTGTTCAATCCATGACCGTCTGTGGTAGTTAGCTGACTGGCTAGCGAGCCAAACGTGTTTGTATTAAGTACGGTAGATTGCTGTTGTATTGGGTTGCTGCTATCTGTGGCAAACTTGACAGACAACTATTGTCATATGCTCCGCACGATCAAGTTGGCTGGCTCCGATAATAACAAATGCACATGAGCAGCGGTAGAAAGGGGGATGAGGGTGCCGCAAGTGACATGTTTTTACTACAGACAGTGTTGTGATATACGGCCCACAGCTGTAGGGGGAGCTCATGGAGAAAACATGCGACAACAAAAGTGAAGATCAGCGAAGAAATGACTATTCTCTGCTAGAGTTGCCGAGTTCTGCTTTAACTGTGAAATTACTACATTATAAAATATTAAAAACGTTAAAAAAAAGTTTTTTAATTGCAATTAATCAAAGAAAAATGGGTGATTAATCTAGTTTTTTTTTTTTACCGATCGACAGCACTATATATATATATATATATATATATATATATACATACATACACACACACACTCACCTAAAGGATTATTAGGAACACCCGTTCAATTTCTCATTAATGCAATTATCTAATCAACCAATCACATGGCAGTTGCTTCAATGCATTTAGGGGTGTGGTCCTGGTCAAGACAATCTCCTGAACTCCAAACTGAATGTCAGAATGGGAAAGAAAGGTGATTTAAGCAATTTTGAGGGTGGCAGGGTTGTTGGTGCCAGACGGGCCGGTCTGAATATTTCACAATCTGCTCAGTTACTGGCATTTTCACGCACAACCATTTCTTGGGTTAACAAAGAATGGTGTGGAAAGGGAAAAACATCCATTATGTGGCAGTCCTGTGGGCGAAAATGCCTTGTTGATGCTAGAGGTCAGAGGAGAATGGGCCGACTGATTCAAGCTGATAGAAGAGCAACTTTGACTGAAATAACCACTCGTTACAACCGAGGTATGCAGCAAAGCATTTGTGAAGCCACAACACGCACAACCTTGAGGCGGATGGGCTACAACAGCAGAAGACCCCACCGGGTACCACTCATCTCCACTACAAATAGGAAAAAGATGGCCTAAAATGACCCCCACAGTCACCAGATCTCAACCCAATAGAGCATCTTTGGGATGTGGTGGAACGGGAGCTTCGTGCCCTGGATGTGCATCCCACAAATCTCCAGCAACTGCAAGATGCTATCCTATCAATATGGGCCAACATTTCTAAAGAATGCTTTCAGCACCTTGTTGAATCAATGCCACTTAGAATTAAGGCAGTTCTGTAATCGAAAGGGGGTCAAACACAGTATTAGTATGGTGTTCCTAATAATCATTTAGGTGAGTGTATATATATATAAATGTAAAAATCAAGAATTGAACCATGACCTTAGAATCGAAAATTCAATCGAATCAAAGATTTGGAGAATCGTGACACCCCTACTTCACGCACACACACACACACATACATATATATATACACGAGAGAGAGAGAGAGCGAGAGCGAAAAACCTGATATGAGCAATCTCGCTAGTTATTCCACTACATTGAATACGCGCTGTGGGTAAAGGCTAACAGTAACCATAACACTGGAGGAGGTCCAGGAGATGCCCACTCCAAACCATCCATTCTGTTCCAGCCCTACCTGCCCTTAATCCTCCAGTGGACCTCACAAAACCATAGCTAGAACACACACTCGCCAAAGATCTTGAGCCCACCGCAAACACAGAGCAAGAGCCTATTCCCACAACAGACCCCCTGCCAGAGGCCACGTCCATCCTGAAGCCTGGCACCAAGTCTGACCAGGTGTGAGTTGTCCCTATTTCCGAATTTTTAGTGGAGCTGGAAGGTGCGGAATCATGTCCAACCCATTCTCCAACTTAAAGGTCTTGTAACGACTGACACACATCAGATTTGACAATCAGTTATATTTAACAAATAATATTTAAAACTCACTCTGTGATCTATGGCTCACAACCAGCCATCAAGAGTGTGGCACAATGGCCCTCATTTATCATTCTTGCGTAGAAACAAGCGTATATGTTGGCGTTAGATTATGCTTACACTCCTCTCACCGCCTGATTTATGAAGCTGTGCGTACCTTTGAAATCCAGGTGTACGCAATACCTGTCCTTGATAAATCCCGCGGCTGAAAACGATCGTCATTAGAATAGCACGCCCCTATATATTCAAGTCTCCGCTTCCCCCACGCCCTCATTTTACGCCATGGACACACGGAAGACGGCAAAGAAGAGAAACTTCTCCGACGTGGAGCCGAAATGACCTATCACAATGCAATATTTTATAGTGCTGCCACTAACGACTAATTTTCTAACGACTAATCTTTCGACTAATTTTTCGATTAGTCGACTAATCTAAACGACTAATTAAAAAAAAAATCAAGTGTTTATTTCGTTGTGTCCATTTTATTTTGAACTCAACTGAAGGGCCAAAACTCTGTTCAAAAACATTATGTATTAACAATCTAAGTGTAGCGCCCCCTATGCTCTGAGTGTAACCCAAGCGACGCTCCGGATTCTTTAAATGTGTCTCTCGACTTGCAACTATGCAATAATGTTATTCTTTCCCTTTCTTTGAGATCTAATAATCTGTATCTACTAATGAATTGCAAGCAACACCATTCGGTAAGTATAAACAAATAATAACATTTAATCACACACAATAAAAGAAATATTAAACAAATGAAAACCCCTTGTATTGAGTCTTAATATACCAATAAACTTCAAATGTAAATCAACACTTGTCTCTTGTCACTTATTTTATCTTTCAGAAACTAAATAAACTCAATTCACTTTCACTTTCACTTTGTGACTTTAAGCTAGACTAACTCACTTTAAATTATTCCAATAGAATGAAAAAATCGAATTTAGAAATAACCTTTTCAGTTACCTCACATAAATCCACAATAACACTTCTTAACACTCTTGTTATCTTTGAGAAAATTTAAACACTTTACCGTAACCCTTCAGTGATCACTCGTATATGCATGCGCGCACTCACACACACACACAATGTAAACAGTCACCACCCAACCCCTCGTTGCAGGCCTGTACCGTTGCTAGAGTTCGTTGTGGCCTAGAAACAACAAATGGCCTCTTCACTCTATTGAGCAAATAACACAAAACCAGATCACCTGAATTCCTCCTTCAGCAAACGACACTTCAGCAACTCTTCATCCGCGAGCACTTACGAACACACTGGCTTTACTTGAACCATCAGCTCACCATCTTCTTCCCCGACAGCAGTGAACGAAATCCAGAGCTCATCCGATCTAGACCCGCTCTGATCCAAGTCCAGCAAACCGGTGTCCTCTTCACACGGATACGATAATCAACGTGCAGTCCATTAATGTCCGTGATTCTACCGCATTTCCATACTAATGTATTTTTCACACTATGAAAATAAACACCTAGACGAACTCCTGTTTGGAGTAACTCTTTCACAAATGTTTCTGGTGTTTTAGAAAAGTCCGAACTGAATAAATGCACGAATTAAACACTTATACAGCACTTAGATTACATTTCTTC